AAACAAAGAAACGTGTTTAATTTAAAAATGTTAGCTGTATTAACGAAGAATAGAGATCACTGATTTTGAGCTATTATTTGAGGGTAGGTAAACATCCTGATTTGATGGAGGATTTATGAAGATTCCAGGGGATATCATAGTCTGTTAAAAAGGTTATGAAATTTTATCTTCAGGGGTTTTATAATAAAATAAGAAATTGATTGGGAGTGAGAATATCATTTCTATTTCCATAAACAATTCAATTACTTCAGTTACTACAGGGCCTTCATAAATGATTACAAGCCATGTGACCAGTAGGTTTGTTTAGAACAGTAATTTTTTTTCCTTCACATTGGCATTTNGTAATATTATCGGAATTTATTATATCTGTAACCGCAACTGTGAAAGAGCATGTCAGATGTATTTGAAAGAATATCCTGAAAAAATAGATCGGAATTTGTTTGAATTTTGAGCACTCGAGAAGCCTAGAAATGGACACGGGAATGAAACTCCAATAATTTCTTATTTTAATGCGTGGTGGTAATAGTATAAATAACTAGACGGATTTCACAGGGCCTAACGACACTTACAGTGTACGATAATTCAATAAACAAATAAGAAATCTAAATAAAAAATTTGCAATTAGATAAAGGAACGAATACACTGAAGATGAATTTTTCGAGACAAAACGTCTGAATTTGGTTCGGGCTGAGACAGTACAGTATTGGGGGTCATAAAGGCTTGCAAAAAATGTAATAAAATTTCTAGGGTCGTATTTAAAAAAATGAAGTTGATGATGGTCCTGGAGAGACGAAACGTTACATATAAAAACTGATTATGCCATTCGATAGAGGGCAAAAAGTGGTCATGAGAAAGTGTTCTTTTTTCAATACCACCTCAAATAAGGCTGAAATGAAACAAAAACGAATCCCCAAAATTTCGATTTTTTTTTTCAAATATTTCGAAAACTAATCATGTTAGCCTTGATTTTTTAGAGGCATAATGTTGGTCCCCCGATTACGCAACTTTGCCTCCATTTAAGCTAGTTTGTATCTCTTACTGTTTCGATATCTCTGTAGTGAGAAGCGAATTTGTAACAGCCTGTATATAAATGCGGATGAGAAAAAGTATCTACCTTTGAAGTAATTCAATATCCTATAAATTACAAAACAGATGCATTTTTGTCGACGTCAACAGCCACGGACAAATGGCAAGGCGAACTTCTGTTCTTCATTGGGGATTTAGCAATTAAGTTAATAATCGGACAGATGTTAATTAATAAGCTGTTTAGGCAGCTTTTGAGGACGGGGAAACGGAAAAATCAGTTTGATTACATGTTAATGCGCAATTAGTTGAAGTAGTTGAATGGCTAATTATTTTTCAAATCGTCAATTAGTATGGCTAAAGGGAAATTCTACTAATGGGACAACTGGTAGACGTAAAGTGAAATATCAACATTTCCTTGCTATGCTGCTCTCAACCCCAATCATTAGCACTGCAGCTATTCAGAAATTAGTTATCGGATTACTTGCATAATAATAATCCGATTTCGATGCGACTTGCACATCTTTCATAGAGAAAGACGTAGTTTCTGGGAAAGCTCAAATCACTTTTTTACCGCAAATACCCAGAAGTATATAGCGTAAAGGGAACAAAGTAATCAATTTCTCCAGAACCTGTGAATTATTTTATTAACTTATACTTAGTTTTTTAATTATAGATACAACGATATAAGTGTAATTTCTTGTGACAATTCGTCTCTTTGAATTCAGTGGGTACCTTTCAGACCATCTGCTCGGTTTTTTGACCTAGTGGCGGATTGACGCAGGTAGTCATTCTCTTAAATCTATTCCTCATACAAAAAATAATATCCCACGTCTATACAAATCAGTTATTTCTTTGAGAAATCCTATTTATTTTTGTGTTAGTATGTGATGACGCTATTATCGTACAGTACAATTATTGTTGCTCTTACTAAAATTATATGGCAATGTAAAATGTTTTAATCCAGTTATTTTCTATTTCATGAAAATGGGTTGGGTTCGCCAATGATTTCGCCACTTAATGGACGGTTTAATTATAAAATAACCTCATTTCCTTGACCTTTAAATCTCGTTCTAAACTGCATACATCTTAAAATCCAAGGATGCAATTTATTTCAAGGTAGTTATATAAAAACATAACAATCAAGTAAATATCTTAAATTCAGGTGTAGGAACTGAAACATCCCGAACACCGTACTGGAATTCGTATCACTATAGCAGTTATTCAAAGTTTGGTTTGCAATTCTTGTACGAATTCGATAATACATGATGTTTGACTAAAGCTACTCATCAAACTTTCCAGTGGTACTCCCAGTCCAATAAAACGGGATACGTAGTTTCTCAAACAGTTTGGTTATAGATTAATTACATTGGATTACGTCCATTCGCCACTTGGAACATAATATCTTAGATTAAAACAACCAATTTCAACTCCCCAAAACCACCTTTTAAATACAATTCAGCTGTTTAATTAATGCAGGTTCTCCGGAGGTCAGCCACACGCATAGTGCGCTAGGTCAACGTATAAATTTGAGTAAATCAAGACATTCATGGCCGTAAATTAATTATGAAATGGTTCGTTCATTTCTTAGGTTTTGTTGTTTAGAAGTAACTATAAAATGCAAATGCTGCTGCTGGAAATACAGGGTGTTAAAAAAAGAGTGTAAAATATTTAAGGAGGTAATAGTATAAACATGGGTCCGCAAAGTAACGGTTGCGGAGATATGGAATGTTTTATGTTTTTTAGCCCCTTTTTTTATTTTGCAAAAACGTTGTGTATTTTCTTATAATAGTTGGTTAATGTTTAGTGAAATAAACAGTACGTATTTGACAGTTGTTCTCAGTGCACAAGTTTTCTTTCGCTATGGCTGGTTACTCTAACGCAGAATTAACAGACATGCATTTTATGTATGGTCGTGCTAATGGGAACGCCACCGAAGCACGACGTCTTTATGTTAACGCTTATCCAAATCGCCAGATTCCTTCACAACGCATGTTTGGAAGAATTCACCAAAGATTGCTTGATACCGGTTCCTTGAGCAAACAGTGCCATTTATCCGTAAGACCAAGGTCGGTATCCACTCCTAGAGCAGAAGAAGAAATTCTAGCACTGGTAGAGCAGAATCCAGGTACGAGTGTGCGGAGAATATCAGCCGAGGTAGGAATTAGTGGTCCTCTTGTTTGGAGAATCCTTCACGAGCAACTGCTTTATCCATACCATGTGCAACGAGTACATGCCAATAAAAAATCCAATAAATGATCATCAAGCACGTTTTGTTTTTTGCCGCTGGTTTCTATGTCATGATGCTGAAGACCCTTGTTTTCTTGCAAACATTCTTTTTACTGATGAGGCCGGGTTCACAAGAAATGGAGTGTTTAATTTTCACAATACGCATATTTGGGCCGACGAAAATCCTCATGCTCTAATAGAATCTGGACATCAGGCACGTTTTTCATTAAACATTTGGATGGGTATTATAGGTGACAGGTTTCTAGGTCCTGTTGTTTTACCAAACCGATTAACAGGCGCTGTTTACCTCAACTTTCTGCAGAACACACTGTATGAGTTTTTGGAAGACATTCCTTTGAATCAGAGGCAACAAATGTGGTTCCAGCATGATGGGGCTCCAGCTCATTTTTCCATGGCCGTTAGAGAGCATTTACACCAAACTTTTCCACATAGATGGGTAGGAAGGGCCGGACCTGTTTTATGGCCTCCAAGATCTCCTGATCTGAACCCTCTAGATTTCTTTGTTTGGGGATATTTGAAGACATTAGTGAATGGTACTCCTGTAAATAGCCTGGAAGGGCTGCAGCTACGGATTAATCAAAAGTGTCAAGAAATCCAAACCAAGGAGGGTGTTTTCGAAAGAGTTCGATTATCGTTGAGACGAAGATGTCGTGCCTGCTTGGAAATGGACGGAGGGCACTTTGAACATCTTCTGTAACTTTGTTCTTTGTTTGTTAAAAGCTTCCTTTGTCGGTTTATTCCTAATAAAATAAAATGTATGAAAAACGAATAGTGGTCCATATCTCCGCAACCGTTACTTTGCGGACCCAAGTTTATTAAGACTTTTCTGCTTATTTTGGTTCATACTATTACCTACTGAAATATTTTACACTTTTTTTTAACACCCTGTATAACATCAAAGTTATACGTCATCACACGCCGGTTGTGTAACCAATAAATTAGTTGGTGACTGTCCAGAACAACCAATTACCTTTGTTTATAATATTTTTTTACGTTACCACATAGATTTACCGAGCAGTAAAACAGTAGTCAAAACAATGTAGAAAAATTCTCAGACATTTACAGTTGTCTGTACAATAGAAAGCTTATGCCTTAAAATGACAAAGCATTGTAGGAGTAAACTTTGCAATATTTCTTCAACCTCAGCAAATAGCTTTTATTTACAGTTTATAGCCAGGTGCTAATCTAATTAGTTGTATTTATCAAATACTTTTCATAACATGAGATAAGACGTACTAATCAATATTGCCATGTTTTACACAGCACCAGCTACTAACACTAATGAAAAAAAATATATACCTATAACTTTTATAGACAAGCAATATACTTTTTTATATTAATAAACCTACTTTCTAAACTGATATAAATTGGTGAAAGAGAATCTCATTTTCGATGAGGTTAAGGTGATTTATTGTATAACCTATTCTAGAAAAAATACACCTATGTAAAGGTAACCTATGTAAGGCATGTTCTAGTTATAATTGTAAACTGACTGCGCACTATTGATTTACTTTCATCAGTTGCATATTTCTCGACAACAGTGTCCATCAACCTAATTTAGAGGATCTTCCAAATAAAAATGAAATAAAATTCTAGCTTTCTTCATATAAACAAAGTATGTAAGTACCTAATAGGTTTGCACGTCACAGTCCCTTAATCAAACATATTGACAAAAGTACGAACACTCGGGCCAAATTTAGACGACAAGTAATTTTAATATCGCTTACCTTAGTTATTATTATAAAACATACAGTAGAACTGTTTCATAACACCAGCGCATGTATACATAGTGAACAACACACTGTTAATGTCGGTTCGCTTGACGTGTAGAACAGCCAACACACTGACCTACACAAGATTATCGACCCGAATAACTGTCGAGTTTTTTCGGCTGGCCGCGAACGAACTCGACGCGGTCTTATTTTAGCGTGGTCACGATTACAACTTCCACCCATAGTAGTATTAGTAGTAGGAAGGAGAGAGCAGTCAATGTTTTCTTTTTGAGGCTCGCAAAGCGGATGCGATAAAAGGTGGTTTACGTTGATTTTTATTTTTGAATTCCTTGAGTCTGTAGAAAAATTTGTTTTGCTGAGGGACTTCTAGGGACAATGATAGGTCTTAACAGATGGTAGGTGACTAACAAAGAGTGGGTGAACAATAATGTTGATAAGTAAATGCTGTGCATTCTTCAATTTGCATAACACATTAGAGACATTATTGTTGCATGTCTAATTTTTATGATTATTTTTGTATGGGGAGAACGATTTAAAGTATGTTGATTGCAAATTGTGCTTTAGCTTACTAATTTACTGATGTCCGTAGTTTTACAAATTAAATTATTTTCAACAATACAGGGTGATATATTTAAACGTGACAATAACAAAGTGTTTTTTTAATGAGCATATCCTGCATAGTCTCACATATTTGAATTCATAAAGTAAACAGTTTTACATTTTGTTACGGCATTGCTAAATTAATTAGAAAGTTCCTTAAATTTTGTCCAAAATCTGTTAAAATTTATAGTGCCAAACATTTGAATTGTAGAACGCAAAGGTGCCACTTAAGATCTGCGAGACGTTCACTATTTTGTACAAGGTGTTTTATATAGACACGCCAACTTTATAGATTTCAAACGTTGTACTTAAGTGTCCCACTTTTAATTCTCTTTAACATTTATTAGGGTAGGTGTAATTTTCGTTAATTTTGGAGATATATAATTTTTTATAATTGCTGAAAAATAGATTTAATAGGAAATGAAAATACGGTTTTTAATAAATGGCATATTTATAGGGAACACCCTGTATAAAATAACGCATATTTTCCAGATTTGTAGTTAACTAACCTTTGTTCTTAACGACGTCAAATATTACGAACATTTGAAAATGATTATAACTTTATTACGTTTTCCGCAAAATTTAAGGAATTTCCTAGGTAATGTGGCAACGGCGCAGCCAAATGTAAAATTTACACCACCATACGCAGAATTTGTGTACAAATATGTAAAACACCACGCTTTGATACATAGATTTTTGATCTAGTCCAACTTTATGTGAACATTTTTCTTGTATCTTGAAACCTGTGTGTATACATTGTCCAATTGCTTGTCATTAAAATTGAGGTCGTTTTGTTGTCGTGTATTTTCTCTTAACAAGTCATAAATTGTATCTAACAATGTTCACCTTGCGTTTTGACGTGTTTCACGATTCCAATTGTGAATGGTATATTGCTGTGTCGATGTCGAGAATTACAGGCGAAATGATTTCTATATTTAGCATCGTCAGAGGCATTTTCCTACCATCTATTTTTATATAAAGTGTCAAAAATTAGTTGGCTTTGGGTAGACACATCCAAACCTAACGAATGTAGATTATAAGTATTTCATTTTGTTAGATTCGGTAATGGATATAAATAAAACAACAGCCTTATGTTACATTTATATATCTTTATTTTTAATTTTAATTTTAATAAACATCATGTAACATGAAGAAATAATATTTATAGAATAAATACAGTGTAATAAAGAACATGTAGTATCATATATGAAAACCACAATGAAAATGTTTTGATTTTATTTAAATCTATAACAAAATACAATACTTTACGAATGTAAAATATTATTTTCAGTATCGGTAATAGTTATACATGTATATGGTCCTGTATCTGTAATTTTATTTAGCACATTGACAATTTCCATAATAATAAGTATACCTATTATGTTGGGTAAGTTCAAATAAACTGCTAACCGTTTTTAATTTTGCAAGTTAAAATTGTCAGGTGGACAGATTTTATTGCTTTGGTTATTCCTTTACTTTAACCCCTTTACCTTTGCACTTTTTATTAATTTCCTAATTTTTTCTACGAAACAATAAACTAAAAAATAACCACTAAGGTTTTATTTAAACTTGAACAGCCAAACTAAAAAGTGTTGCAGAAAATTCAGCAGGTACAAAATGAAACTACGCTAAGACAGATAATTTAAAAACGTACTAAGCTTAAAGAAAAATTCAACATTTTAAACTATACGTTAAAAGATTAACTAGGTACTAAATTGGAAGAAATTACCCTGTTTAACCTTGAGGGAATACAATGTCAAATTTGACAAAAAACTAGTTTATGTTATGTTCTGTATTTGTCATTAAGAACAAGACCTTGTATTTTTTTTATTAATCATTGAATTTTAGCCATGTTGATGTCGAAATTCACCAGATAAAAGCCTAATAAATAAGGCTATCAGAGAGAGCCGCAGTTCCATGGCAGAGAAATGCGTGAGCCGCTGCCTCAGAATGCTTTCACGTTAGTATACTGTTGCTTTGTTATCCCGCGGATGTTGCATAATTAATTCCTGTCCCTTGGTGTTTATGGCTGTGTATTGTAGACAATTTAATTTGTTGCTTTTTAATAAATAATGCCTACGCCAATGTCCCGCGGCTCAGTTCTGACAGCCCTACTAATAAAACGGTTTTTATGTAGGTATGTAATAAGAAAACAGTTTTTATTTCCCTGCAAGTCATCATCATCTCTTCTTTATGTCTATCCCACATACAGGGTGTAACTAAATTGCTTGACCAAATGTTGATGGCAGATTTTACGTCACGCTTCGTTTTCGAGAAATTCGATCTTTATTTTTTTTTTAATATTTCATTGCCAATTTAAATATATTATTATATTTAAAAAAATAATATGAAATTATATTAATAACCATTTCTATTTTTAGAAGAAACTGATGAGGATTATGAATATTTCGGAATGCTCAAGAGTATGTTGAACTGAGCATCATCAAACATGGAATCTGAAGATCTTTCTTTAAGTGAATTTATCAAATTTAGTTAAAAAAATAATAAAAATTAAAAAAAACACTCAATCTATATTTGATATATCTTGGGCAGAAGAATTAAATAATTCATACAAAAATAAAGAACGGCGGATTTTATTTTTTAAATTTCTGCATTTGTATTGGCAAACATTTTTTAATAAAATTTGGTGTACTTTGATGAGTACCAAAGTGGTTAGCAATTTTAGTGATAAAAAGTTCCCGAAGCTTTCTTATTTCTCAACATAAAAGTTTTATTAAGCTTTGATCTGGAGAACTGAAATGTGCTGTATTGGACACAATTGTGCCCTACATTTCGAGTCTAAAATGACTTAATTGATTCATAAATAAAACGCTGCATAAAGGTCTTGGAACAGTTTTAAATTACAAGATTTTATTAAAATAACACGAAGTGACTTTATAAACTGAAATAACTTTTTTCTGCAACATTTCTTGTATGAAAAATTGTACTGTCGCGTTTTAAAGTTGGCTATTCGATGTAATGTATTTGAAGTGAGTGACTTTAAGTGGAAGGCCGTAAAATTTGTAATTCTGTTAAATTTTAAAGCTATTTGACACATTTTATGTAGCAAAACAGATACATTAAAACGAATCAGTCTTCTCATCTGTATCGTGTGTTATTACGGAACTTGAGCTACACGAGAACGTATATTTCTTTCCTTAACGTATTTGTTAAAATTTCATGTTATATAAATATTTTTACAAAATATAAACATATACATAACGGGCCCCGGACCCCGGAATAATTCTGTACCCGAAATATTAGGAAGAACCCTCGAAAATACTATTTTACATAACTCTGAATAGTTTAAACATACACGATGTGAGGCCTGTCCCTGTTCTCATTCAGCTGCTCGTATATATTCACAGAACTAGCTCCATATGGATCCCAAGACGGCAAAGAACGGTAATCATTATGTATCATTATAGGAGATGGTATAATATACTTCTCCACTTGCCCGGGGTCGTAAGGCTCGTTTTTCCTCGACTGAGTCTGTGGAGGTATAGCCCTTCGCAGAGAGTTGTCACCTTCAAGATCCTTCTTATTAGACCTCGATCTCCTCTTTGGAGCCCAGCATACTACTCCGCTAATAACTACAAGGATAAAAATAACAGTAACTGTCACCGACACAGCCGCCATCCATCCCACAGAACAGTCCATTTGATTTTTTGTGGCATCCACCAACAGTTCCCCGTTTAGATCTTCTGGACCGACACAATCAATATCGGCCATATCCAAAGTTAGTTCAGAAGTTTTCACTTTTTTCAAATCTCCGTGTATAGTCCCGTTCATTCTCAACGTCTTGATTTTGTATTCTTGAATAAGTTGCCAGAGCCAACCTAGGGAACAGTTACAGATCAAGGGGTTGCCTCCCACTCTTAACTCGTGTAACTGATCCAAAGGAAAATGAATCGCCTCTAAAGTTTGAAGGTTGTTGTATCGTACTGATATATATTTTATTTTAGGGTTACCATGGAATAATCTTGTGGGAAGTTTCTCTATTCCTATATTGTAGTCCATATGGACTTTTTCTAGATTGATATTGTCTACAAAAGCTCTGGTGTCGATTTGTTTAAGGGTCTCCAAGCGGTCGATCTTGAGTACTTTTAGGTGGAACAGACCTTTGAAAGCTACTGGTGGAATATGGTTGATAAAGTTTCCACTCAACCTCAAAGTGGTTAGGTTCGAGAGTTTGGCCAACGGCAAAGTCGGCATAGCTGTTATGTTGTTATCGCTTAAATCCAGGTGATCTAGAGCTATCAGTGTAGATAATCCGTCTGGATGAATGTCAGATATGACGTTACTATCCAACAGTAGGATACGAAGTTCGGATAGGTTAGGCATATCACCATCTTCAACAGATAAGAGTAGATTACGAGATAACGATAGGTACCTTAAATGTACGGTATCAGCTAGAGCATCGGTGGGCATTTCTAGGAATTGATTATCATTCAAATGCAACTCTCTTAAGTTCTTACTAGTTCGAAATAAGCTTTCCTCTAAGTGGACAAGCTTGTTTGCACAAACTCTAAGCACTGTTAATGAATGTAATTCTCTGAAAGCTACCGAGTTGATTTCCTCTAAACTATTATTACTCAGGTCTAAGTGGGTTAACGCTTTCAATCCTTTCAAAGAATCTTTGGCTAGATTATCTATCTGGTTGCTACTCAAGTCCAATCGGGTCAGGTTGGTTTGGGAGTTGAAATTGGCATTCCCCAAGGTCTTTATCCTATTGTGGGACAAGTTCAAAGTTACAAGTTTCTCGTAGAAAACGAACGAGAAATGTATGTGGACTATTTTGTTGTTGGAGAGGTCCAGCTCGTGCAGCTCGGGATTGAGTTGGATAGGGACTATCTCGAGAGACGTTGATACACAGGAGGTTTTCAAGATGTCGTTCTCGCATCGGCACGCAGCTGGACAGATTGCTCTTGTGGAACCGGTCATGACCAACACCAACATTGTCAGTATTGCTAGCCACCGCATGAATTGGATTTTATCATCCTCCATGGCCAGAGTGCCGCATCGTCGTGAGACCTGTAACAAAGATGCAGACGTATAGGCTGACGACTCAGTTAAGGAATGCTGAAAAATTTATTGAGTTGGTTGCAAATACAGTTTTAAGTACAATAATTGATAATAAAAAGAGAACAGTAATATTGAAATTTTTATTATACATTTAATATATTTTATTTATAGATTTAATATATTACACAGCCACACAAAAAAAGAAAAGTCGTCTGTACTTTTCATGTGACATATGTTATTTGTAGTATTTTTGCCTCCTGATCATGAATCTGGTGTCAGAATTGACACATCACAGGAATTTCCTAACCTCAAAAAACAGGTAAAAAATACCAAAAACTCATGAAAAAGAGCTAGGAAAACTATAAAAATTTTTTTTTCTATATTCAAATGTTCATTTTTATAGTTAAGACCCCGCCCAACGTGAATCTGCGGTCAGAATTAATGATTCTTTTTCTAACCTCAAAAAAATGGGTCAATTAAGGTCAGATATCACGAATTTTCAAACAATAACAGATTGGCGGATCCAAACTGGCTGACCAAATTTTCAACTAATAACAGAATCGAAGAAAATTTGGTATACGAGGGTTTTCTGGGTCGCTAATTACGTATTCGAGGTCAAAATTGCGAAATTCATTTTGTAATATTTTACTTTATAACCTGAGTACCCAATTATGTCTTTACCTACTTTTTTTCGGCTATATCTTGGTCTTTCTTCTGTAAAAGATCTATTCACGGGTTGAATTTTGTGGGCCATCTTGAATTTTGCAAAATTGACCTCGGATCCGTGATCAGCGACCCCGAAAACCCGCGTGTATTAAATTTGGCGCGAATTTGTTATTTATTGAAAATTCGTAATATCTGACCTTAATTGGCCCGTTTTTTTGAGGTTAGAAAAAGAACCATCAATTCTGACCGCTAATTCACGTTCGGCGGGGTCTTAACTATATAAATCAACTTTTGAATATAGAAAAACAAATTTTTTCTATTTTTCCTAGTACTTTTTCGTGAATTTTTGCTATTTTTGACCTGTTTTTTGAGGTTAGGAAATTCCTGTGATGTGATAGCTTAATTCTGACACTGGATTCGTGATCAGGAGGTAAACATACTACGGATGACATATGTCGCATGAAAAGTACAGACTACTTTTTTTTGTGTGTGTGGCTGTGTTATCTATTGATTTACTATCGTTTTGCAACAAAAATTGATATTATTTTTTTGACCTAAAGTTCGAAAATGACATGTCTTACAAACAAAATGGAAGACAAAAGAAATTCCTTGAAATATGAAATTGACTAATCTCATTTCCAAAATTTCAGTGGTGTCGAACTTTGGGGGATTCTTAGTAACGGTGACTCCAATATCTACGCCAGTGGTTGATATAATAGTTGATATACAGGGTGTTTCAGTCATAATGTAATTAATTTTAACCACGTATTCGGAAGACAGAAAATCGAAAATTTTTTTTCACGACATTTTAAAAAATAAGCAAATTACCCCTTAACTCCCGCTAACTCGGCGCTCCATTTCGTAATAGGGAACGCGCCGCACAGGCCGGTGGAATACACAGCAATTGGACGTTCGTTGTAGAGAAACAGCTGATTTCCTAGTCGTCGTCCCGTTCAGTTTTGCAATTGCTTTCAAAATCAAAGTGCAACGGATCTCAACTTTATTAAGCTTTATGGACGACTGAGAGTGTCTTTTATCCGTATTTGTCATTTTAAATAAGTAGGTACCATACAACTCCGAAAAGTAATAAGTCACACAACAAGGTATATGTACTACAAATTGAATAATTGAATAATTGACCATAATACTAAAACTCATTCAATTATAAAACAGTGAAAACGTTAAGAATAGGTATTAAAGTTAGTGACTAAATTCACTCTCGATGTAGGTCAGCGGTCAGGGGCAGTCCAAAAAAGGGGTTTAAATAGTGATTAAAAATATTTTTTTTTTCAGCGTAAATATGCGTTTTAAAATTTTTTTAATAGCGTATTCGTATTCTACTCATTTTTCCCTGTATTCCCTTAAAATTAATGACATTATGACTGAATCACCCTGTATAATATGGATGAATTTGTTCTTATACTTAGTTAAGTGGTAATCTTAATTTTTTAAATTAATGTTGAACTTCTTTCAAAATACTTTTCAAAAACTTCGTATATCTTGAAACATAACCATCGAGCTTAGGCAACCAACAGTGCACGGGTGACACAGTCACCTAAATCTTAGTGTCATCGACACTAATTGTTCGTTTACAATGAACAGTAACAAGAGTCGAGATAATGTGATTACCGATTGGTGGAACAAATGCCGTGAGAAACCACTAGCGTAACGTAATCTTGATCTTATTGTCTTAGTAATTTTTAATTTTACCAAAATTTAATTGCCATCGCGAAGAAAATAAACCAACTGTTCCAAGCGTAAAGTTACGTACGCTAGTAGAAAAAAAAATGTTTTCGATGCCCCTAAAAGCAACAAAGGTACAGTCAGATCCAGCATTTTGGCGTCATGACCCTGTCCAAATATAGTTTCCCCGATGAGACGTAGATATATATTATTCTGATTTTTTATGAATCGTACCCTTGAAAGTCACGATGATATCTTGTTTCCACCCTAATCAGTTCTTTTATATTTTGCCGCGACCCGTGACGAGGGACTATATAATACGGACTTTCCACCAATTGTTCGTGTATTTCCCATGTCGGAGGACTAGATACCGCCCTGGAGACCTTCTAGTGGGGCGAAAAATATATATGCCGTTTACGGGAACATCGAAATAATAAAAACGTTTTATTTACTTTGAGAATGGCGGAATTCTTGATTCCTCGGTCGCCGTTGCCGTAACTCTCTTTATAATATAATTCGAACATTAATCTGGCCTTCTGTAAAGCTGGGGCGACGTTTTAATGGATGGCGTGGAAGGGGCAAATTACACCTTTAATCTCTTTACAATTATGGTAATAGTGAGACATGCGTGTTGTTAGTGGTTTTGCACAGATGGTTTAGAATATACATATAATATGTATATTCTAAACGCATATGTAAATAATGTGTGTATGGTATATTACAGAAAATTAGAATAACATTGTAATATCTGTTATCAGTACATTAAACCATATGAAACAGAAAAAGTAAAAGAACAACTCACTGACCTCACTTAAGAAAAAAGTACCAACATGTTGAGAACTACTGAAGTCGAAAGTCGACACGTATTATTCTCTCATGACACACCATAGTTAAGTATTCTTTGACAACATATTAAGAATCTACAATGCACTTATAAACACCCAAACAACGACAGAAATTCGAAATTTTCACGTATGTTTCGAATCTAACCACTGAAACTGTCCATGGAGCTGCAAACTACTCCAAAACACCCAGTCAGAGCTGGACAACATCAAGAGAGCCCTATGCTGTTGAAGACGCCCAAAAAACAACACAGTTTCGAAAATTACAGGCATCCCACGACAGGTAGAGACAACCCGAAAGAGGTTTTATGTTGCAAACCCTAGCGAAGATCCACTTCAGGACTTGGCGGAGCCAGCCCGAAGCGGGTTCGAACGTCGACTCTGGTTTTCCCTGATACGACAAAATTGTTATAAACTGTTGTGAGCTCAAACTCAGATCGTCAATGTAGCGACTAAATCGTTAGGATTACTCTTTAGTCCAAACTAAAGTACTCTTTAGCCAAATCTAAAAATGAACGGAGACGAAATATTAATATAATTATAAATTACAATTTTTTATTTTATTTATCCATTTTCCTTTCATTTTCCAAAACTTTCTGTTGCTATCCCGTTTTATGTACTACGGCCACATAAAGGACACTGGAGACAATGGTGTCGCAGCATTTTGATTGATCACTTAACGATAAGTGTCAGAGTTGACGTTTTATATATTTTCTTAGAAAACGTGACTTGTAGCTGTAAGTAGATATAAAAAAAATTGAAACTTCCGAAAATCACTAGAGCTAGAAATAAACTGATTTTAGTATTGGATTCGCCAGGCCCAATATAGTCTAGGGATTTTTTTCAGATATTTCTGATCTCCACCATATTCTCAATTTTATATGAAAATAAGATTATATACTGGTTATGGTGTAGTACAAGTTACAGGCAACAAAGAGAGGTTTTTGTGGATTTCATGGTGTTTGCGCGGTGTTTTTAAGACAGTCGCTCTGTCAACAGCATCGGGTTCTCTAAACGTCCTTTGCTCTGGCTTGGTGTGTCTGGAGTGGGTTTCGGTGGTTCCCGTGGACAGTTCTAGTTAGATTCGAAACATCGGTGAAATTTCTGTTTTCACGCACGCTCTGCAGTATAAATAAATATTTTGTACACTAGTGTGAATAAGAAATTGTTTATATAATCGGTCGATAGCTGCGTGGTTTAAGGCGTCAGTACTTAAATCGATGTATTGATCTGCCCGGGTTTCGAATCCCGCGGCCGGTAGACCGTAGATTAGCAATGCTTGTACGGAGGATTGGCACCCTCTGTGCAGGTATGGTAGGGTGGAAGAATGTTGGTTTGGGTCAATGTGAGAGATTGACACCGGTTGGCATTTGACCGCCCCCCTAATTAATGAGGTTTTCCAGTTATCCAATTATCCCGTAATAAAAGAATAAATTAATTGTTATGAAATGTGTATGTGAATGATTTAATTTAAATTAATGACTACCATGCGGCTAACAAACCTGATTTGATAAATTTTCGCAATAGATTTAATATGTAGTAAGTATATCGAGGTCATAAATCTGTAGAAATAGGAACTACTTCAAAAGTGCCTCAAGGGTCTATCCTTGGACTCCTATACGTATATAAATATGTATATAAATGGTGCATTTGATAATTTAACGATAAATTCTTTGCTATATGCAGACGAAAGATTGGAAAGATAGATGGTTTTCTGTATGACATTTTTACATGTATTTTAAATTTTGTTGTTTTCTTTCTTTTTTTATTGTATCTCATTTGTGTGTGTTTCTGTTTTTCTGTTTTTATTAATATAATGTTGTCTGTTCTGTTATCGGCTTAAAAAGTGTAATAAAACGAAATATATGGTTTAAACTTTTAATTTAATTTACATTTTCGATAGTGTTATTATTATATGCGGCATATGCGTAAAGTGACTTTAAAGAAAAATTAAATTAAAGCACGTTTCGCGACGGTACAAGATTATGATAAATTCGAAAGCAAAAGACGGGAAATTTAGAAACATCCCGCGTGTTAACATTAGGGGAAAGGCAAATATTTTTTATTTTTAGTGTCTCGCGAGGCTTGCTTTTTTTGGAGGAAGGTCTAAAAACAGTCTTCAAGCAAAATCTGATATGAGATCGCCAGAGAACCCGGGAAGCGGTGGGAATGGAAAATAATTCTTACTTATACAACCGTTAGAACAAGATCGCAGTGTATTATTCTCTCTCCGGATTTCACTGCGGCATCCAGAATCGTTATACTGCTTGTACTTAGCGCATATTGTCATTACCAACTGGCAACTGTACGCTGTTGGGTTCAGTTTAATGCCGTTGCCTAGGAACGTCTAATGTCTCTCCGCCCTATCCGTCCCGGTCACAAGAATTAAGACAAATGACTGTACAAAAACCGAGAGATGGTGCATACTTGATAAGGATTTGATGGTAGGAAGGCAACGCAGTCTCTCTAGAACAGTCGCTTACGGCGCTCATTGGCCACACAGCGTCATCCAAAAGCTTTTACAAAGCCTCACACTGTCACTGATTAATTTCTATTATAATATAATGCAATGAAAAATGTATCGCTACTGAATTAATTATTAAGTTTCTTCTCTGTATACAGAGTGTCAGCGGCTTGACTGACATTATCTTAACAAGGTGGTTTCAAATAAGGAAAAATGTATTGTCTAACACTCGACCTAAACTTGTATTTGAGGAAAAATAAAACCAAACGGTGTTGTTTGCATAAGTGAAATTACGCATACAGGGTGGCACAAAAGTATGAAAACCCCTGAATAACTCGTCAGGAGTGCATTTTCTTGAAAAATGATAAATACAAAAGTTTTAGGATTTTTCCCTGGCGATTCAATGGCGCCCTTGTATTCGACCTTGATCTTGACCTTCGAGGTAATTTCAAGGTCAAAATTGTTTTTTTCAAATGGGAACCCCTATTTTTCGTCAAAAAACGGTCTTGACCATGACTTTGACAATGATTTTGCTCTTTCCAAATCCGCAATAAAAATAGGGATTCCCATTTAAAAAACTTAACTTGACCTTCAAATGACCTTGAAGGTCGAAGTCAAGGTCAAATCCAAGGTCACCATCAGATAGCCAGGGAAAAATCCTTACACTTTTGTCTGAAACATTTTTTCCCAAAATGCATTCTTCGAAAGTTCTGACGTACCTGGACTTTTGGAAGTCGACCCACATTTGACCTTGAAGATTATTGTCAAAGTCATGGTCAAGACCAATTTTGGACGTAAAATTTCCTGCTCTTTCCAAATCCGCAATAAAAAATAGGGGTTCCCATTTGAAAAAACAATTTTGACCTTGAAATGACCTTGAAGGTCAAGGTCAATGTCGAATATAAGGGCGCCATTGAATAGCCAGGGAAAATTCCTAAAACTTTTGTATTTATCATTTTTCAAAGAAATGCACTCCTGACGAGTTATTCAGGGGTTTCCATACTTTTGTGCCACCCTGTATATTACCTTCAGTCACATAATAAAAAAAGAGAAAAAAATGATTCAAACAATATTTATTATACTGGCCACTTTACACACACTATAAGATACTAACTAGCTAACCAACTAGCTTGACTAAATTCACCTCATCTGCTCAGATGCGCAGAGGTAATTGTTCATATACAGGGTGATTCAGAACTTATCCAAAAATTGAATATACAGGGGACTCTTACAACTACAATTTTGTAAAAAAAAATCAAAAACAGCAGTTCGAAAATGCTTTAAAAATACACTTTTGCACGGCACTGGAAACTGGTTCACTGTAAAACCTGACGCAAAGAAAACTTGCAGTCGGCGACCGGCACGGCGGCAACAAACGGACAAAAAATTGAAAGAATTTCTTTCCTTGGGAAAGAAATAAATAATATTTTATATACCTATTTTGTATCAGCAAATTTAACTGTTTTTGCCGCTACTATTATTAATTAATAAAATTAATTTGTAGTTTTAATTAATAAAATAATTTGACATATCTGATCTTACAACAACTGTTCAAAGTTTTGTCCAGCCACGTGTAAGCACATTTGGGCCCGTCTTATCCAATTTCTATGAACTAACACAAATGTTGTCTAGTTTCACCATATCACAAATGTTGTTTTGCTTCACCGTAACACAAATGCTTCACCATAACACAAATTTTACCTTGCTTCACCATGAATAAAACGATATCCATCAGCTCCAAGTAAGCACGTAAGCCATTTTTAAAACTTGAAAAACTGAAAACACTTTCGCAAAAACATTTTAATACTAAAATCGGATTTCAGTATTCGGAATGGCCTGGGGTCACGTGGTGAGAGAGCGCATTGCGCACAGCGCACAACGCGAATGACGCTAGAGACTACAGCAGCCCAGCGATATAAAGGTTGAAAATACTACAAATTCAATAACCTCTTTCTCGGAAACTATAAGAATTTTACAAAAATTTTTTTTACGATATTGATGTTTCATGACGCATCTATTCACAATTTTTTTTGTATAAGTAGTGAATCACCCTGTATTTAAATATATATTATACAAAACCTTCATTAAATAACTTTATTTATCAGAGCTGCAGAAAAGGTATATGTCCTATATCCACTCCTTTGATTAATAAATTGTACGGTACCAGGGTTGACGTTTGAACAAGATGGGTCCGGAGAAGTCCTACAGCGATCTCCGCCTTAAACCTGAATATTTCACCTCCTCGAAATTGGCCCATCTTGGGATTCTGGTCATCTCTGACGAGTTGTTGATCTGTAACTGAGCGTAGTTAATAATGATCATATGGTCCTACTTCAATATGAATTTCGTTGTACCTATTAGGGAAAAATTCGAAACTGAGGTGAATTTTTTCGGCGGTTGCTCTGTCGTCAACAGTTTCCCCCGTAGGTATCGTCTGCTACGGCTGTTGGTCCTTAGCGGCAATTGGGGGCTGCGTAGGGGATTCCTTGGAAATATTCGAAACTTCAGTGAAAATTTCGTTTTCCGTTCCGCGTCTTCTGCTGCGAGTGGAGTTTTTTTCGGAAATTTGGCGGAATTGGTACCGCGTAGATTGATTGTAGACAGCTTCATAGATTAAATTCGAAAGTGGAGTGAATTTTAGAAATTTTCAGCCCTCCGGCGATGTTGGCGACCGTGCTATAAGTCTAGGGGCAAGAAATTGATTATCATTGGATTGGACGCCGTGGATGCTTTAATACGTTCGCTTAATTTAAGAGTTCCTCAAGGTGTGAACAATGAGTCTCTTGGAAGTTTCCGCGACACGTGCTCGAGTGTGGATATGCATAACGTCGTCGTTTAACTCGATTTACCAGAACTAGATTGAATATGTGCATATATTTGCGCACACAGTTCATGTCTCTCCCTCTCGACACCGTCTGATGTTCACTCTAAATTGAAAGTGAAATTATGTTAAGATATGCCGAGTTCCAAATACATGCTGTATCCAGTTATAAGCTGAAGACATATTACAATCTGTGACTGGTATGGATTTAGTAGTACCGAAATGGCAGGGTAATTTTGAGGTCTTCTGGGTTACTATGTCCACAAATATTAAACAAAAAATTCATTTGTGTTGTGTTTATCCTCTTCCGAGAGTGCGCCTTTGCTCTCTTCAACAAATTTGACAATTAGCTTACACTGATTTATAGCGATTTTAATATTCAAGGACTATTAACAAAATTTTTCCTTCTTAATCCCCACTATGATTACTGACAAAATTACCTTACTAGTTGCCGCGTTTTTTTGCGGACTTAATGATAATAACGCATTTAATTTCCCAAAAATCCCAAAAATTCGAAACTAAGATGGATTTTTCATCGACGGTTGCTCTGTTGTTTACAGCGTACTCCGTCAGTATCGTCTGCTATGACTGCTGGTGCTTCACGACAATTGGGAGTTTCATAGGAGGCTTCCAGGAAATATTCGAAACTTCAGTGAAAATTTTGCTTTCCTCTCCGTGCCTTTTGTTTGTGGGAAGTTGTCTAAGTTCCCTCGAACATGGGCATCTACTTTTGGGTGATGTTACATATGCACTAGCTGTGTTGTGTCTAATTTTTTTGAACGCGTCTCTTTCGATTGTGCAGTTACAGGGTGTTTATACATATTTATCTGTGAAGATAGAACAACTCTATTTTATTCCAGTTTTCACTTCCAGAGGCGACAATATTTTTGACAGTAAGGCGATGTTACCCATTGTTCTAGCTATGTCCTGTTCAAATTTGTTTAATGCATCGCTCTCAGTTGCGAAGATTCAATATGTATATTGTCAGCCACGAAAATTGAATAATTCCAAATATTTCAAATTTTCACCACCAAGAACGGCGGTGACAACATTTTTAACAGTACGATGTTTCATATTGTATTAGCTATGGCCTTTCTAAATTTGGTTAGTGCAACTCTCTCGGTTTCGAAAATTCAATACCTACTTATGTCTGTTTTCAACCAGGAAAATTGAATAATTCCAAATATTTCAAATTTTCACCATCAAGAACGGCGGTGACTACATTTTTAACATTAAGGCGATGTTTCGCATTGTATTAACTATGCCCTGTCCAAATTTTATCAGTGCAACTCTCTCGGTTTCGAAAATTCAATACCTATGTCTGTTTTCAACCACGACAATTGAATAATTCCAAATATTTCAAATTTTCACCACATAGAACGGCGGTGTAAACATTTTTAATAGTAATGCGATGTTTCGCATTGTATTAGCTATGTCCTG